TGTACTTGAATAATATTTGTATTAGATAAGCATATATAGAATTGTAACTGTTTACTGTTATAATGATATATTAACTTTTGTTTTTTTTTTCACTTTTATGTTAAAGCATTTTATGTTTTTTTTCCTTCTTTTTATAATAAAAAAATTAAAAAATAAAATTAAAAAAAGGTTGGTCAACAGCAACAATTCTCTAGTGGCCAGAGTCATTGCAAAGTCTAAGAAAGGCAGTGCAGCATCACTCAAGCCCTTCAGTCTGCAACAAGCATATAAACTGGATCTCCTTTCTGTTGTTAGTATGGCAGTTGGAGAACTGAGAACCACCAAACTGGGCAGTATGTCAAGGAAGGAGCATCTTCAGTCAGCCTAGCTAGGCCAACATGGGCCCACTCTATCCACAGAGACATGAGATCTCCAGCCCTACCCTCACCCTCCAGACTCAATATTAGATAAGACCTTATTTGTCCTTTTGGTCTACAGCAGGCCTGCACAGCTTGTTGAGGGGAAAAGGCCACAATGATACATTAAAAATAATTGTGGGCCACAAAGAAATAGTTGGTGTGCCAATCAGTTGTTTGGTGGCTAGCAGCGCAGCAGCTGTGATGGAGCTGGCAGTGTTGGTGAAACTTGGAGGCACTGGAAGCACTTAACAGTGTCTTTCAAGGGTGGTAGTGATGGTGGATCCTTCCTGGCAGCAGCAACATTTGGCAGCAATGGATTTATTGAGTTTTTAAAAAAATGCTGGTGGGCTGCTCAAGGCTGTTTGGTGGGCTACATGTGACCCATGGGCCATATGTTCTGCAGGCGTGGTCTACAGACTGTACAGTTACTATTTTTCAGGTAGGAAACAAACAGGAAACAATCATTGAAACTCTCAGCCCACCAACACAGATGCGGCACTAACAGGCAATTATGAAAGAAAATGTTCCTCTAATTAACACCAGGTGAGCAGATGGGTATTAGAGATAGTTCAGTGGAATATGTTCTGAAATTTAGAGAAGACCAAGTGACAGGTTCACAATAAATCAATGGACATTGGTATAATAGAGACTACAAGAATGTTTTTCCATTCTACTTATGTTACTGAAGAAAAACAAGACATGGAGAGCCATCCTGAGTCTCAAGCTGCTTCAAGTACATTAACACCTAATCTTCAGGTTGGAGAGATTAAGTTGACAGCAGAAGCCATTGTACAAGATGATTTCCTTGATGGACCTGTCAGAGGCTTGCTTATACTAGGCAATCAGGCCTTCCCATCAGAGATTCCTCAGTTTTATGTATAGGAAGAACCAGTTCCAGTTCAAAACACACTTCTTTGGACTGGTCTCAGCAATTGTATTTACCAAGGTGGTGGGGCCTTTGTGGGTATTCACATTTATGCTTACCTGGATGATCTAATTATCAGAGTACCCTCTATAGAGAGAATAATGAGCATCCACAGTCTGATGCTTAGGTGCCTCTAGGAGCATAGTTTTGAGTTGAACTCTGCCAAGAGCTTGCTCATTCTTTTAGAGCAAATTCAGGACGAGATCACCAGCAGAAACTACCTGCACATAATGGTGCAAAGTATAGAAGGCTAATTTTCCGTTGGTAGCTAATCCCATCCAATATGGTACTTTGGATTCCAGGGAGAGGAATCAAGTGACAATATCAACCTAGTAGGGTGGAGAACACACTTTCAAAACAACTCAATGCAGGAACTGTCGTCTCATAAGGAGTTGACATTTCATATTAACCAAATGGAGCTGAGGACAAATGGCTGGCTCTGACTAATGACATGGGTGGAGAAATACCTGTTTCCCATATCAATAGAGTACATAAAGGGATCGCTGAACACTACAGCCAAATGGATGAATCTTCAGTACTTGTCTCAGGGGGGAGTGAATCCTACATCTGGAGAGTTTTCACAAGATTGCAGCAAGATGGGGATCTCCCTTGGCCAATCTGTTAGCAGCAGATGATAACAGACAAGTGATCTGCTTCTTCTGATTTCAGGATCTTAGAACAGAGAGTCCTACAGCCAGTTCAGTTAATTTAAATCAAACATATTTGCATATTTTTCTTAATGGCTTCGGTATTTAGTTGATCAGTTAGAATAATACATTTTAACCTGTTAATCAACTAAAGTCTTTTTAGTTAAAATGTTTTACACATAGTTTTATATTAATTATTTATATATTAATTATTTTGTTTTAATACTGTTTCTTCTAAAAAAAAGTCCAGAGCTATTACATGTTCTTGCAAGTAATAGGCAGCATTTTAGAAAAAAATATTCTTCCTTGTCTCCATGGTATGAAAGCTGCGTCTAAAATTATAGCTTTTGCAATGGGTGCCTGTGTTATTTAACAATCGGGAAATCGATGTTTTGCATTTGATGAAATCTACATATGAAATTATATTTCCAATTAAAATTCCCATGTATGATTGACTAACGTTCATTTTAAATGGATGATAATCCTACTTTTGTACATTTTTCTACCAGTCTTACTTTGCATAATTCTAGCTTTGTAACTGCTGGGGAATGTGAAAATTCTGATTATTAGTATCCTGATTGTAACAGTACTGTCATTGAGCTTTTTAGTTTTCAGAAATCATTGCTCATCTTCAGCCAACAATGTCCTTTTAGAATTCATGATGGCATAATCTATTCTTTTGTCTAGTTTATTTCTCAGCCATAATAAAAAGATAAGTTTACGTAATGTAAGAATATGATAGAGTTTAAATGATACTACTTTTAGTAATTAACTATTTAAAGTTTAGATTAGTTAACTCAAAAACTGTAATTTTTAAATAATGCACTGTGATTAATATTCTTATTCATTACAGTTAAAGAAGATTGGAGGTGGAGGATTTGGAGAAATTTACGATGCAATGGATGTGCTTACTCGAGAGAATGTTGCCCTGAAGGTCGAGTCAGCGCAGCAGCCAAAGCAAGTTCTGAAAATGGAAGTAGCTGTGTTGAAAAAACTGCAAGGTATGGTGAACAAAGATCATCATACTGTGATTGCTAAGACTCTGACATTGCTAATGTATAGCAATCTTGAGACAATCTTGAGAAAATAGGAAAAGCTCTGTGTATGAACAGGGTATTCATTGATCAGGTTGGTGGCCAAATAAATAAACAGTATTTCTGAATGCAGTTCTGTGTATATCAGAAAGCTTATTGAGTTCATTAAGGCTTAATTATAGATCAGTATGTTAAGGATTATAACTTTAATCACATGTTGAGGTTAAAAATAGGAAAGTCAAATTTACATTGACCTTAATAATGACATTAATGCCTTGGTTTATATGCATGACTTGAACTATGAAATATGGCAGCATTTATGTTCTTAACAATCTTTATATTTGGGGATTGTGAATGCAGGATGTGCTTATTTTGAGCTTTTGCAGATAACTAGGAAAATGTGTTCTTTAAAATCTTGGAAAAACAAGCTAATTCGAAATGCATTCTTGCTTTCTCTTGTCCCCAGTCTTTCCAGCAGCTGCTTTTTTCCCTCTTGGTTATCCCCTTGCTCCTGATTTCCCAAACATATTCTGCAAGTGTGATATGCAGAAATCTGGCTAAGCAGACAACATCACTTCTCCCATTGCAAACCTTAACTTTTCAATTTCTGTAAGTTGTATCTTTTAGCAGTACTAATGAGAGTAACTGCTCTTTGGAGAGGGTCAAAAAGCCCCTGCAAATTATAATTTTCTACAAACTTGTACTGGAAGTTTTTCTCTGTAAGACTCATGGGCTGAATAAAATACCTGACCAAACCTTCCCTTTATATTAGCACCTCCACAGTTACCATAAGTGAAATGTTAATGTTGGAGAACTAGTAAGAGAACAACTAGGATGGGACCAAGGTTAGCCAAAATTCAGTAGGAATTTAGTTTGGAAACCTTGTGATTTCAAAACTGCTAATTCTGAAAGTCAGCAACACGACAAATTGTCATTTGTGAAAAGTTTGTCAATGGTCTCTGTGAAACTACTGACACGTAGCATGCATGTAGAATATTTCAATCTTTACTTGATTATAGGATAAATAGAAATTGTGTAACTGAAACAAAAATAGAATAAAATATTGAAGGCCTTTAAATGTGTACATTTTGAAAGCATTGATGTAGCTATTGTTAAAGAAATGATTTTGTAGCTATATGATCTAGATATTTCAAGCATATTTAAAGAGTTTCTGTATTTATATTAAAGGAAGTTCGCACGGCTAAGTTACTAACACATTCTTTTTTCATTTCAGTGTATTTGATTTCAGTATATTCTGTTAAATATTTTTCTCTTTCTGTATCATAGTGTGCTTTCTCTTCCTCTGAATTCCAAGTTTCAATTCCTCTCCCTCTTAAATATGGGACTTTTTGTGCCTATTTTCTGGCCATCTCTCTCTTTTTTTTGTTTTATTCAGTGGTCCTTTTCTTCAGTGGAAAATTAGATTAACTTCTTTCCCATAAATATGAGTAGATGTATGCTTAAACCAAGTATATATAACAAATAGACCCTCTTCTAAGTAGATGGGGATCAAACAATCACTATTCATTTATTTGGGGCTCTCTAAATGGCCATTTTACGTCTTCTGTACTCTCTCACCTTGTTCCCATTCATTAATTCATATCGCCTAACATAATGATTTCCCCCCTTGATTACATTTATTCATATGTTTCATGATTTCTTTCCAAAATTTATCCCTCGTTGTTGTTGTTGTTGTTGTTGTTGTTCCTCCTCCTCCTCCTCCTCCATCATCATCATCATCATCATCATCATCATCATCATCATCATCATCATCATCTTTATCCTGCCTTTTTTTATATTAACCCAAGGTGGTGAACGTACCTAATACTCTTGCCTCCTGTTTTCCTGAGAACAACTATCCTGTGAGGTGGATTGGGCTACGAGAGTGTGAATGGCCCAAAGTCATCCAGCCAGCTTTCATGCCTAAGGGAGGCATAGAACTCACAGTCCCCTGGTTTCTAGGCCACCAACTTAACCACTATACCAAACTGGCTCTCTATGTATTATTTATTATCTGTTTTATTTATCATCATCATCCAATTATTATCCATTTATCACCATTCATTGCAGCAAACTATCACCTTCCTTTGATTCCTGCTTTTATACGCATGCATGGCTACTTAGGTGACATCAGTTCATATTTTCTGGCATGCTTTCTATTCTGTTCATTCATAATTAAACCTATGCCTTCAGTTCCCTGCTATATTCTTCACTCATAAGATCAAGCCACCTTCATTACATTCCTTTTCTTTAGCTTTCCAGAAGTGCAGCATATTTTTATTTCATTTCACGTATTAATTCAAGTTCTTTATCATTTAATCCTCTTATATTCCAAATCATAGTCTTCTGTGTGCCATGGATGTTACAGATACTGACCTCCACTATTTATTGTGGCTTTGATGAATTTATTTATTACAATTTTCTATTCTGCCACAATAAAGATTCCCAGTGGCTTACATAGAATATAATAAAATAATTTAAAACATCCATAGTAACATGTAAAACATGGCATCATAAAATCATGGAAAAACTCTCTGAAACAACAACATCATCAATTTCTGAAATGTCAGCAAAGAGGGGGCTAACCTAATCTCCACTGGGTGGCTGTTCCACAGCATTGGCACTGCCACAGTAAAAGAAGTGCCTTCTCACTTCAGCATTCCAAACCTCTCAGAAATGTGGGTTTTGTAGCAGTTTCTCCCTAGTTGTCTTCATCAGTTGTACTATACTGATTGGAGCAGGCAGTATTGTAGGTATGCGGGTGCCAAGCCATAAAGGGCTTTATAGGTCAAAAGCAGAACCTTAAATTATACCTGAAAACCAATTGACAACCAGTGAAGGGTGTACAAGATTGATGTTATCTACTCCCAATGCCAGGAGCCAGAGAGTATGCAGGCTGCCGTGTTTTGAACCAATTGCAGTTTCCAAGTGCTCTTTAAGGACAGCCCCACGTTTTTTGATTTAGCTTGATCTATGATGCTGATAGTTTCCCAGTTGAAACTATGTTAAGTCTGTCCATGTGTTGTGAGATTAAGGAATTTTCATCATGTCTTCTGATTGCACACAAGAGGGCTGTGTAAGAACTTTGTTCAGACAAGCACAAATGCACTGCAGCAACCCAGAACAGCAGAAAAAGGAAACATCACCTATACTGTACAACATCTAACAAAATGGATACCCATGCAACTTTATCAAAAAGTGCCTGAGCACTTAACGCACTACAACACAACCAACACAAGCTATGAAAAGGATAACACTGCCATACATCAGAAACATCTCAGAAACAACCAACAGACTATTACAACCACATGCTATCACTGTAGCACACAAACCAACTAAAGCCCTCCAAAATATCTTTAGTAAACCAAAAGACCCAGTAGCTTGAGAAGAAAAAAACAGCAGTTATCTACAACATACAGTGTAAGGACTGTAACAGCCAGTATGTAGGACAGACAGGCAGAAGGCTTGCAGAGTGCATCCATGAACATCAACTAGCGGTCAGAAGACACGATGAAAACTCCTTAAAGGAGAAAACAACACCCCCACCAACACTGACAGGGCAAGCTACTGTATATAAACAGAGAGCAAACCATACTCCCTTCTAGCACTGAAGATGTTACCTAGCCGGGTAATGAAATATCTGCAAGAAAACAACCAAGCTCAGAGAGCCCCAAGAACTCCACAGTTCAACCCTGAGCTACATATATTCTCTTCATTTTGCCACGGTCATCCGTTTTGCTTTTAGTGGAGTCATCTTCAGTTTGCCATTTCTTCCCTGGCACATGACAACAGTTCTGAGACAAAAGTGAGATCCAAGATATGGCCACCTACATGTGTTGGGCCTGAGATAACCTGAGACAAGCTCACGGTTGCTGTGGAAGACATGAACTCCTGAGCTTTGCCCAACCCAGCCTCCAAAGCTGGGAAGTTGAAATCACCCAACACCAAAAGACAAGGGTTCTCCACCATCAACCCAGAAACCAGCTCAAGGAGCTTGGGACAGCAGGGCAATTGGTACACAAGCAGGGCTCCTAGTCTGTCTCTACAACTCAACATAACAAATAGGCACTCAGGTTCCAGTATCTTCAGAGCAGTGTCCCTAGTCACAGGTAAGGTGTTCCTCATGATCAACAGTACTCCTTCCTCCTTGATCATGGTGTTGAGGCTATCACATAACACTTTTTAGTAAGATAGAAAAGATGTAGACTAGAAGACCAGCCTTAGTTGCACCTCTGCCACCTGCCAACAGTACCATTTAATTTAATTTTGCAGGTGCAATTTGGGCAATAAGCCACAAGTGCTACCATAACCCAGTTTTCCATAAGCATGCTCATGCTGTTCTATGCAAGCTAAGATTTCTAATCTAGATATTACCTTGCAAATCAACATAGTTGCCCAGATCCCATCAACTAGGAGGTATATGTAGTGTATTAACAAAGTTGGGATACTAACATTCAAGGCTATTTTTATGTAAACTGACCTCAGTTATAATTTTCTGAGATTGTTTCGGAATCAAGAGACTTAAAATGCCTTCTCCCTTGTGGTCCTGTTTGTCCACTTTAGTTGGACTGGACTGGACAAAGTTAGTTGATCAGTATAGGCTCCACTTTATGTCACATTTCCACCAAAAATTCAATTAGTGGGAACACAGGGAACTCTTTATCCTTTGCTATTGTATCTACTTTTAGTATATACAGATAGTTTCAGCAGGTGGAAGCACCTGGCTGACCTTGTCAAAACTCAAAAGCTAAGCTGGGTCAAACCTTGTTAATTTGTGGATGGAAGACCTCCATGAAATACCTAGCTATAGGTTAGATTGGGAAGTAAAAGAAACATTCTGGAAGAAGATAAATGTCAAACCAAACAACATAGACCTGTCCATGAAGTTACCAAGAGTCAGGTTTGACAGAGACTTTACCTTTATATTGTAAATAACTTCTTTCACTGTACTTATGGCCTGTTACCTA